ACGCTACTTGACGGAATGTCACAAATATACGACAAAACCAATTTTACTTCTAATGCTTTCTAGGCGTCTACGAGGCATCTAACTTGCGTGCATAATGCAAATTATTGCACTCTAGTGTCGAATTTCAGCAAAAAAATCCAAAAAAGGCCTTTTCTAGAGACAAAATAGTGCAAATTGCGGAGGCTTACTGTTGCATGCCTCCTTTATATCCGTGGCACTCGCGCGTAATCCGCGGATGCCTGTTTCTGTGCGATTTTCGTAGTCGTCCTGTTGCATGACCGGTTTATATCTGCGTACACGCGCGTCTTTCGGTGCGGCGACGTTTTTGTTTAAATGTAATAAATTTACGCACTTTAACCGAATTCTGCACATTGGATAACCTCTTTAGTACAGAGTGACTGTGCTGGGAGAAAGGAAACGTTCACGGAGTAAGTACTATATTGGAATTTGACTAAAATGTAATTGACTGATGCGATGACACGTAGTCGTAGTCGTACATAGCGCTCCTCGCAACATTTTTTACATTTTTCTACGACCATGCATACCTAGTCTTTTGTTTTGGCGAGTTGCTATACATGTTTTCAGAACCCTATTATCTACTTCTGATGTTTTAAAAGGCGAGATGTGGCGTTTTTGTACACATTTTGATGTATTACGTATGAGAGTGTGCTGTTGGGTGTACGCGGTTACTTGTGATTGAAACGATTAAAAGTAGTTATATGTTGAATATTTGAGAACTCGGTACTCGAGTTTCGTGCCGGTTGTTTAGACTTTACTTTAGTTTTATAGACCTGTCCAAAACACGCGTACAGAACTTTACAAACTAGAGTTTCCGCGGCTAGCATAATCCACATTTAATACATACACTTATCTGGGAAAATAAGTGAAACATGACCTGCAGCTCACGAACATGAACTTGTACATGACGTACCGGTACGCGGTGTCAGCAAAATTACCAATACCATATATCTGATATAGCCAGAGACTCCAACCCTAACTTAGCATCACCTAAACTGGAGATTCTCCAGCCTGGACCCCTTGGCAAACTGGAGACCACACTCTGAGCGCTCGGATTGCGCCGCTCGCCCATTACGGGTAGGGTCCATGGGCCCACCTTAGAGGGCAGGGGTCCAGGGGGCAGCGCCACCGTAAGCTCCTGGATTTTAATGGTTTTTAGCTCATCTGACATAGTCAGATGCAGCTTGTTGAATTGCATGAGCGTGCGTGCGTCCCGTGCGTCAACAGTTTGGGCAGCAAATCTAACGCGCTCGACCGTAACGGTCACGATATTTGGGACGTGGGGGAGTAATCCGAAAACGAGTTGGGATGTCGAAGCTGGGGTCAAAGGTTAAAGTCAAGAGGTGTAAAAGAAGGGGGAACATTCCCTCGCTTAACTTAAGGTTAGGGAGGAAATGCAAAATTGTGGCACAAATCTAAACGGCTCGACCTAGGCTCGAGACAGTCGGTGTAATAGCATCATGGTAGGATAAGCCATCACTAGTGCCGAAATTGAGGTCACAGGTCAAGGTCAATTGGGCGCACAGGGAGTTTTGAATACATTTTCTGAGGACATGTCTGACAGAGCGATTGAAAAACATTTTTTGTTCAGCGGTGACCTTAGCATTTTTATGGCTTTATTGAAAGCAAAAGATCGTAGAGTGCCGTAGGCACAAGATAAACCACTCTCCAATCATAGCGTAGTAGGTCATGGGTCGCCACAACCGCCTTTTAGGAAGCAAGTTCACACGAAGTTCCCGATGCTGGCTGTATCTGCTACTGTGCAACTGTCTGCTGTGTGCTGTCAGCTCAGCTTACTGTTCTGCTGTAAATTGCTCGAATTGTCAGTGTAAGCTCGACCTGTCTTTCTTCAGGTTCTCCAAGAATACGGAAAGGTGAGAAACATTCTTTTTGTCGAAATCCATCGTGAAAGAGTTGTGCAATCTTTGTTGATACATGTAGTACCAGTGGCAGTGTTGTTTGTGCACAGGGCAGGGCGTACGTGCGGTGTACTTCACTACTTGTGTGTTGCAGATGAGCATTTAAACGGCATTTACAGCAAGTTATCGACAATAATAGGCGAAATAGAGTAGAGAAACATTAATACTTTGATAGTAGATACATTTAGTGTTTAATTACCATTATTTGTTTGAGACGGTCAAATGAAGTGCCTGTGCACTGTACCACTGTCTGACACTACACCACTGCACTGTGTACATACTACATAGCAACATCCGATTGTGAATCGTTGTTAGATTTTTGTACACTTGAATGAGTGATTTGATACAGCTATTGGCATAAAAATATTATCTGTTACATTATATTATAATATATATATATTAACCATGATTATCCATATTATTTCTATGTATCAAATAGACGCGGAGCGGGTTTTGCTTCCTAAAATGGCGGACGTGGCGCTCCATTGCGTACTACACGTCATTGCACGTGATTTCGCATGAGTGGTTTATCTTATGCACTCTACGATCTTTGATTGAAAGGACCATGAAATGTACTTTTCGCTGACATGCGAAGAGTAAGTGTCGGATAAACTTTTGACTCAAGAGGAGGGTTGAACATTGATTTGTTGACTGTTAACAAAGGACTGTACTGCTTTTGCCATTATTAGAGCCCATACCTGTGTGAATGTGAGGCTACAGTTGCACAGTTTAATTGCAAAGGCAATGTTTGTTGAGCAAGGTTTACGCTCTTTAAATCATTATTTTCTAAAGCAGTCTGTCTATAGCACCCTGAAGTCTGAATCAGTGAATGCTCGCGTGGGTAGGCAAAAAAACGGGGCAGCCCATGGCTGGCACGCTTCTAATCATAATTGTTGCCTGCCAACCTGCAATGCACATGTGTCTGCAATGCATAGAGATTAGATGGGTGCGAAAGTGTAGCTGATATATTTGTTCCAAAATTTTTTTGGCTACGAAAGTCAAACAATAATAAAGAAGACTTATGTATAAGACGTCTTGCTATGCACAAATGAATTTATCAGCAGAACATCAGACACCAGATGAGCCCTGTCGCACTGCGGCACTTGTTTTAGTATTGAAACAAGCTATTTTTTACACATTTGTTTGCTTCATTTTATTAAAGAAACAAAGTGAAATAGCATCTGTAGATATTGCGGACCTTAATTCTGTCACTTTATTCTTTTTGTTCAAACTGAAGTGTGTTCTAGGTTGTATACTTCCTCGATCAAATTATTATTTTTTAAATAGTTATTACACTTCTGGGGGGGGGGAGAAAATGCAGCTTAAGCTGGAGAATGGGAGATTTTGGGATAATGGCCCCAAAACGGGAGATCTCCCGCCCAAAACGGGAGAGTTGCAGTGTCTGTATAGCTAGCTCTAGTACTATAGCCCGCGCACAGTTGCCGCAGGCCTGCGGCAACAGTGCGCGGGCTATAGTATTAGAGCTACTGTATAGCTAGATAGTGAGTGATACTCTTTTGCACTGTCTTTTTCGGTAGGAGGAATCTGGAGGATATAGGAATTAAGTACGTTTCTTTTCTACTTATATCTTAACAGTATAGTTTTATCATCCCTGTTTGATACTTGAGAGAAAGGTATTTTTGTAATGATACTAGGAGAAAAAGGGTTGCTGGTTATGCAATCATAATGAAGGTGAAACTTGCCATAATCTTGATATAGGCCTACTATTCCAGAGTCCAGAATTGCGTTACAGGGGTCTTCGAGGGGGTACAGGGGGGTGGGGGTACGGGAGAAGGGGGACGGGAGATGGGAGAACAGGGGGAGGGGAGCGGGAGTAGGGAGGATTTTCATCCAAAACAAACTATTATACTATGTTGTACGCATGAAAGAGAGAGAGAGAGAGTGAGAGTACTACTACTAAGTAGAGAAAAATAAAAGAAATCCATAGCACGAGAAATAAATACATGAGAAAATACATTGTACAGGATTAATACATTTATTACGCAAACTGTCAGAGAAACTAAGTGACATTCAAAAAAGAAAATGCAAAATATAAAGGATCCTGGAGGTGTTGAGGGAGGGAGATAGGAGGAGATGGGGATTGAGGTGGCAGGAGAGGGGGAGGGAGGCGGGAGGAAGACAACCCCCTGTACCCCCCTCATAATCTGGGGCATATATCTGCTTTTTCAGTAATTGATCAATGATGGATCAATGGACATTTTTTCTATTTTCATTGCTCTATTCAAGAGAAGGGAAGCTTGGACACTCCTTTCTTCTGACATATGAAATGTGTAGCTGTCCAGTGATCGTATGTGACTAACAAAAATATGTGTTAGCAAATGCCTGTTTTGCCAAAATCACAGCTTTTGTGCAGTTTACACACCAGCGTATCATCTTGTACTGTGCTGTAGTAAGAGTAATTTTGGAACATGTGGTGGTAGTAAGGCTGGCAATAGTACTTAGCTGGTTGTGGTAGTAGCAGTGTCTCATGTTCATGAGAGATGCCAGTCTATAGCATTTGGGATAAATACGTAGATAAAGTGTATTTGTACCAATAATCTGCGGATAACCAGTTAGCCAGTGTTTACGTACAGATAAAACCTATTTATTAGTAATGTATGTTTATGTTGTGTGTTTGCTATTATTGTGTGGTATTTATTCCAAGACTAAATGCGTCACCTATAGTATCACGTCATTGACAATGACCTAAAATACCTGTGTGCGTATAATTTCACTTCCAGATGTATCAGGTGGGTTGATTTTGTTTTTGTTGTTGTTCTGTTGTAGTAGTTTTTGTAGTTGGGCATAGGGCCAATAACCCTATCTATAAAACATATATTACAGCCCTATTCTCCATGAGGAGAAAAGGAACTAAGATAGTTTTTGTAGTAGTTGCTATTGCTGTGAATGTATCATGAATCATCATATATATATATAATAAATAAAGAAAAAAAAAGAATAGGGTGTGAAATTTTAATCGGTAAGCTTTCGAGAATTATCTCTCTGTATCAGGCTATAAAATGACAACAAAATCATTTTATATTTACCATTCTGTTGTCATTTTAGAGCCGGATGAAGAGAAGATAATTCTCGAAAGCTTGCAGATTAAAATTTAACACCCTATCCTATTTTTTCTACATTTATTTTCATATCTACATGGGTGTTTGTGTGTTTTTACTTTTCTCTCTCTCTCTCTCTCTCTCTCTCTCTCTATATATATATATATATAATTGTTATATACATATATATTTGCAGAATTCCCATAATTTGAAATGGAATACAAAAAAGAAAATGGGCCGGAGATAGGCCGGAAGATCTCAACATCATCGTCGGGTGGTAGTGATGAGAATAAAGCTCGTGGTAACTGGTCGGGCGACCTGGATTTCTTGCTGAGCTGTATTGGCTATGCTGTTGGCATTGGAAACGTCTGGCGCTTTCCTTATATTTGCTTCACGAATGGAGGAGGTATGTGACAGCTTATCTCTTCAGGGCTCTATGTATTATAAATGCTGTACCATGGTATTAGACTTGCTATATAATATAAATAGTAAAAGGGGATGACCACACACCATGGTTACTAATTCTACATAGTCTAATGTTTTCAATGAGTTATGAGCTGGTTACCATAAATAGTCCAGTGGTATAAGAACAATGTTCCGTTCTGCTGTCTAATATGCTATTGCCTTACTGCTGCGCTAACTTTAATCCCATATTCAGCATGGAAAGAAAATACTGGAAAATCATGTGATGATATTTAGGATCGTATTGGTTTGTATTGATAAATGTTTAGTAGAGAATGTCATATACTAATTGATACGTTTTTCTGAAGGCGCCTTCCTCATCCCCTACATGTTTGCACTCTTCACTTGTGGACTGCCGTTGTTTTTCATGGAGGTGGCAATGGGCCAATTTTCAAGCAGCGGTGCAATTGCCGTATGGAATATTAGTCCAATATTTCTAGGTAAGTGTTGGCATGCAATGATACGTATACAGGGGTAGAAATTAACTTTTGAACAAGGGAGTCCAACGGAATCCCTACCCTCAAAAAGAGGGAGTCCGCAGCAAAATGAGGGAGTCTGCAGTCTGAGGTTCAAAATTAAAGATATTTTAACAATAATGCATACATGTGCTTATTTTTAAGATTCATGCAGTTGCATGTCTGCCAAATTCACACGGACTCCTGTATATATGTCAAATAATTTGACTCCGGACTCCCGTTAATTTCGCACCCTGCGTATTATATATATTAAAATCTAGATGTCATTACAATGGGTTTCATTAATTTACATTAACTTGTATGTATTGATTCAGCTCGATGAACATTCTAGCTCACATGTTTCCAAAATTGGCAAATACTGACCGTTGTCAAAAAACGAATATGTGTGTGCATGTGCATGTTTCTGTGTATGTATAGACAATCTTGGACATTTTCCACAACAATATAAATTTGTTGTTAGTTCTAGTAAGGATATGCTTGTAAACTTGATGATCTACAGGGAGAATTAAGTCCAATTATTCTTAAATACTTGCAAAAGTCAATCTAGCATTGTATTGTAGAACTCCGCTACAGGGTGCGAAATTAACGGTAGTCCGGAGTCAAATACTCCCTGATTTACTGTCGGACTCCCTGATATGACATACGCAGGAGTCCGTGTGACTCCCTGAAAATTCTGCCATACTAACTAGTTCGTTCCGGAGCACGGCCTCGTGGAATTACCAGATTTTTTCAGCAAATGTCCAAAGAGATTTTGGCAGACCGCATGAATCTTAAAAATAAGCACATGTATGTCTTATTGTTAATATCTTTAATTTTGAACCTCAGACACATTGACTCCCTCATTTTGAGGGTAGGGAGTCCGTTGGACTCCCGTGTTTAAAAGTTAATTTCTAACCCTGCCGATATAATTGTATAACATGCCCTTGAATAACATAGATATTACTTTGATATTATTATTAGGCCAAACAAAAAAATAGGTGTTTCCGGTCGACCGACCGTCCCTAGATTATTAGGGCCGACCCTAAACTTTTTTTTCATTTGAAATCTGACAGACAAAACGAGATTTTTTACTACAAACACGTTCTGGACTTGCTTACTAACTTATCCCTACCTATACACCACTTTATAGCATGCATCAGAGGGATATTAGAAACCGTAGAATAAAAAATAAAAAAAAATTAAAAATAAAAAATCCGTACCTATACCTACCCTACTTTTGTTTTCGATGCAATAGGAAACACACCTATTTTTTTGTTTGGCCTTATTATTATTAGTTCATGCAATAATTTAGATGTAATGCGGTCATCACTTGGTGCTGGTTTTTCCTCTTCTTTACGTTTATTTTTATACAAATGTATGGTTGTGTGGTGCTTTTGTTTTTTCTTTTGCGCTTTTCCGCTTGGTTCACATTTATTTATCAAGTACAATACACTTTTAATAAAAGCCCGCCATGATCCACGTTCTTCCAATACCATGAGTACATATGAGTTGTTTGTCTTTTTATAATTACATTAAAACAATATTATATCTCATGTGCATGTATCTTGGTCAGAACATGGTGACGATAGCATAAAAAAATTGTATTATTCACAAACTTTTCATCTTATTAACAGTAAATTCAAACTTTTAAATACTCTGCTATGTTTTGTTGTCAGTTACGTTGTGTTATAACGGGGTTCCACAATATGTTATTTCATGTACGTAATACTAAGCAGTATTGCGTGAGTAACAATAGCGGCATTTTTTCCTCTCTAACTGTGGCTTCTGCTTTCATGTGTCATGTGGCATTACTTGGTCATGTGTGTTAGATTGTGATATAATATAGCATTGGAACACAGGAAACGGCATTGACTGCCATGTTTAAAAATGTATAATACTCACACAAAAATGTCGAAACGTTTCTTTCAGACTTACTTTTCGTTTTCTTTTTTCACTCTTACTTTTTAGTTTCTATTGGTTATCAGTAGTGATGTCACGATCATCGATTATACTCGATCATCGGTTGAACAGTGGCTCGAACCAAGCGCTTAGTGATGTCACGATCATCGATTATACTCGATCATCGGTTGAACAGTGGCTCGATTCAAGCACTTGGTTATCAAAATCCATAATCGATTTCATCGAAATAAATGTCAAACTTGAACAAGAAATGTCTGAGAGTAAATTGTTCGACACATATTGCAATGAACAACACCAGAACACTACTATACAAGTTATCCTTTGTTAACATACATGTATTATACACACAGTAGTCAACAGTGCAAAACAAACAGTAAACAGGGCTAAAGTAAACAAGCACATACATGCACACGACGTTACGCACACGCAGGCATTCAACACCCCGAGTAACCGATTGTAATCGATCATCAGTTACTTGGGTCCAACCGATGATCGTTTACGAAATTACAACCGATTGACAACACTAGTTATCAGTAAAACACTAAAACAAGTATGTTACAAGTGCATTCGGTAACGTATTGACTTCTAGATAAAAGCTACCAGTCTGGTAATCTGTAGTTGTTCGGTTCTTTGTAAATGTGACTGGATTAGACCAGTAAGATCAGGTTGTTGTCTTTCCTTTTAGGAGTCATATGACGACGGTCGATCTGATAAGACTGACTGCCGCAATTTCTAATACCGGTCAGCTTTTACAAACTGATAAGACACCAATAAGAGCAAATGTGTGTATGCGCAGATCTGTGATCAAAACGTCGAGACGGGTTCTTCGTGTTTACTATGCTATAGCCATACTAGAGCCATTTGAAGGTGTTTAGAGCAGTATATAGTTGCCGTTTAGAGCAGTATTGGAGGGTACGAGAAGTTTGTCTGAGTACTATAGCATCTTAGGACCATGATAGCTGTCTGTGAGTGTGAGAGTAGTTTACTAGTTCAGGAGGGTGCTAGCCAGGGTTTAGCCAGCCTAGGTTAGAATAGGTGTTGTCTCGTGGGTTTTCATCATGTCTTTATTCCTATTGCAAAGACCAATTTCTTGTACCACTTTTTTGTAGTGTTTCCTTTAATGGTAATCAAAAAAATGCTCTTACTATGAAGGTAGAAAATTACTTTGTGTAGTCTTGATGCTAAATCCCTTGTTCAGAATAGAAGAAGCTTTGAGCCTTCAAGTAATGCATTTATATTTTATTATTAGCAAAAAAATATTTGATTACGAAAAAAACTCTTTATTTTAAAACATTTCAAAGTGACTTTTTTGTCCGATTACTATTACACTCTAGGGGTGTACTAGCTGTCTGTGGATATCTTAGCAGATTGGGGATTTAATTTGTTCGTGTGTGGTACAGAGACGGGTTTCAAGGAATAAAAACGTTGATTTAAAGTCATTATAAAAGTGATGGACCTATAATGTATGTCATGTGTGTGTGTGTGTGTGCGTGTATGTGTGTGTGTGCGTGCGCGCGCGCGCGCGTGCGTGAATCTCATCTTCTTGAATCGGTCTCGCGCGCAGGTGCTGGCTTCGGGACGGTGATATTGACGGCGATCTGCTGCATCTACTACAACCTCCTCATCGCCTACATCCTCTTCTACCTCGTCATGTCCTTCACGAAGAAGCTGCCGTGGGAGACGTGCACAAACGAGTGGAACACGCCGGAGTGCCTGCAGCGCGGCCTCGAGGTCTTCCTCGGTCCCAGCCTTTCCTCTAACTCCTCCTTCGGGAATAACTCGCGCCTAGCCGATCTCTTGACGGGGCAAGCCGCCGCCGCCGCCGCCACCGCCGTCAATGCCAGTGGTGTCGTTGGCAAGACGACAACCCCGAGTGAAGAGTTCTGGTAGTGAGTATCAATGTGTTCTTTTTAATGTTATTGATTACAGTGATTGATTAGGGTAATCGATTGATTGAAAAGGTTGTAAGGATTTGTGCGCCAGCTGTTTTCAGTTGCCCCTTTTTCTGTGTCCTGCTTGCCTCCTTACCTCACTCCCTACTCCTTGCTATGTATCTCTCCCTCCTGCCATCTCTCCCTCCCTCCCTCCCCTCCCTCCCTCTCTCCTTCCCTCCCTCACTCGCTTCCTCTCTCTATCTCTCTCTTCTTCTCTCCCTCTCGCTCTCCCTCCCTCCCCCTCTCCCTACTCCTTGCTATGTATCTCTCCCTCCTGCCATCTCTCTCTCCCTCCCCTCCCTCCCTCTCTCCTTCCCTCGCTCACTCTCTTCCTCTCGCTATCTCCCTCTCTCTTCTTCTCTGCATCCCTCCCTCACTCTATTCCTCCCTCCCCCTTTCTCCCCTTTGTCTTTTCCTCACTTTCTCACTCTTTTCTCACTAGTTATATGCTCTCTCTTTGCCTTGCTTTATTGTTGTTATATATGTGTTATATCAAGAGCTAATAATACCTAGAGTGTACAACGTATTATTATCACAAGGTGTTGTTAGCTCTTGGTCATATGCACGGGGCATACTCCCGGAAACTCTGGTGTTGACGTTGGTGATACTATCACTGATAACATTATCAGAATGCACTCAAGGACCCATTTTCGCAGGGTGATGCATTGGTGAGATAAGGAACTATAGTTAGTCCTGTAACTGCTGCTTTAATACGTTTCCCAAGTATACTATTTGCCACTGTGCATGCTGTGTATTTGCGCGAATCTATATTTAATAGGCAGCAATAACACTTTTCACTGAAAAAACATCTACATTTACAATGTAAAGATTGCGCTTCTGCTTGTCTGCTCAATATTTTTCATGGATATATATCAGAAGTAGATAATAGGGAAGGAGTGTGACTTCAATAAACAAGGAAAATTCGTCATTTACTAGCCTTAGAATACCTACGATTTACTACGCGTAACTCAACCAACTTGAGCTCAAATCGTACACAGTACATTCGCCTAGCATCGTGCGAAATCGTTTCCTCGTATACACCCGCAATCCGGAGATACAGACTAAAACGTACGACACGATTCTCCATTCTGTTGCCAGCAAACCGAATGTATAAACTGCCTAACTTGAAACAAAAGGCAGCTACTAACAACTCTTGCGCCCTCGGCGATGCGGTGTGGCTCGCTGGGAGATTGGATATCGACGCAACACTCGGCGAGCTAATCTTTGACCTAGCTGCCTTTTGTTTCAAGTTAGGCAGTTTATACATTCGGTTTGCTGGCAACAGAATGCAGAATCGTGTCGTACGTTTTAGTCTGTATTTCCGGATTGCGGGTGTATACGAGGAAACGATTTCGCACGATGCTAGGCGAATGTACTGTGTACGAATTGAACTCAAGTCGGTTGAGTTACACGCAGTAAATCGTAGGTATTCTAAGGCTAGTAAATGACGAATTTCCCTTGTTTATTGAAGTCACACTCCTTCCCTATTATCTACATCTGATATATATGCACTTCAATCTAAAGTGCACATCATATATACATGCATCTGTATTTGTAGATGGTATTAATGATTTATTTTACATTGGCTCTGTCATGTTACCCTTTTATATATAACCATATGTTATAATTTTTTTTAAATATTATCATTGATTATATATCATAAAAAGATATCTAATCATATGACCATAATTTAAAAATGCGTCAGTCATTCATCTTTGCATTCCCCGTAAGTGTGGTCACATCGAATGATCGAGTTGTGTTTTTGTAGTCTGAAACTAAAATATTTAAAGTTTAAGCTAAGGCAATTTGGTAGGGGTTTCCTTCAAACGTTGAAACACTAGGATGTCAAGAGGAAAATGTTTTTTTCGTGTGATATGAAATGCATTCGTGACTGTAATGTAGGGTGAATATACTGCTCCGTCTAAGCGACGAAAACCAACCCCAGTTAATCAGCTACACAGAAAGTTTTTATAATACTTAGGTTAATTAAGAGAAATATTTGAAGTTAGGACAGAATGCTGGTTGTTTGAGCGTCCATTTAGTCCCACCTGTCAGACGAAAAACTCTAAAGTTGACTCGTTCAGATTCGCCCAGAGTTGATTCTAATTGTTTCACCGGTTGGTCTACTTTTGGTATTACTTTTGGTATTACAGTTGGTTATCCATGGCGTATCCACAGAAAATTTTATGATTGTAAATTTACATTTTTGCAGCACAATTGCCTAAGCATTCTTAGCCTCAAATTCAATCAAAAATTGCTTCCAATGTGATATCTCTGTTATTTCATGTGATATTTCTGATTGAGGCACAGAAACTCTGTGTGTTATTCTATGAGGTCATGCAAAATTAATTACATGCACTGTCTTTGTGACCTGCAGACCAATACTCTGTTGCTAGTTTTGAGTATAGAGTTATCGTTGGAGAGATGCGTACATTGTATATGTAGCCTTCCCGCATTTTCTCGGGCCACACCTTTTTACCGTCCGGTCTAAATCCATGCAGGTAATTGCCAAGAATGCATTCCCCAACGCGCAAGACAGGAAAAGGAGTAATTTTCCATCACGCGCTTGCTGGGGAACTAGGTTAGTCCTTGACCGTATCTATCACAATACTTTTATGGTTAGGTGGGTTCATGACAAAAGCCGGTGGTGCGCGCATTACAACCCTCAGGGGATTTGAATGCTAGGAACCGCTCTTCATTCGTAGTTATACCGCTTGCCTGATGTGTTAGGCACTATCTAAATTCTGCTATGTTGTTCCACAGCCTATATGCAATTACAATAGTCTATAAACTTGGTTATACAAGATAAATAATTTTGTGTACATGGTGCAAACAATAATAGGCTAGCAAGTCAGGTGACATGGCATTTCTACACGCTCCCCACAGTCGGTTCATGTGCATGAAATTGACAGCTTGTTTTCAACAGCGTTAAGTAGCTTTTGAGTATGAAAAAACCCAGCTGGTTATATGATGTACATGTCATACACATGCCTAAAGAAATGTGCAGTTTAGCAGGAAAGGTGGTGGCTAGTACCTATTCATGCTGCAGTGAAATAACAGGTGTATAACAAGTACAAAAAGGCTCTAGTACAAAAAAGCATGTTACGCTACCCGTGCAAAACCGCTATCCTATGAAGGAACTGAAAACTTATTTTCCTTTACAAAATAATCTTTTCTTTTGACCTGTAACTATAGGTTGGAAAAATACCTGAAATCTATCCGTTTGTCCTGCAAATTGCCCCCAATCTGGATATTTGAATGCTAAGAAAAAATGCAACAAAGGGGCTGCCATACAGGGCATACTAAATTGCAAAATGATGTTGCCTGCCTGTTTGTGCATAGTTGTTTCTGCTAACAACATTATTACAACATAAGAAAATATATCATCGACAGTATCCCTTTAAAAAACAGGTAACTGCAAGTATGTATTATACTTGATTATATATACAGAAAGGGAATGTGATTACGAAGAAAGTTGAAAAAAAATTCTATTGTCATTAAATTAATCATGTATACTGAGATGTTGCACTGCTCGAGCATTTGAGCTAATATTTTGTGTAATTTTCAGCAATTACATACTGGAGATCACTGATGGACTTCATGAGTTCGGTGGCATCCACTGGAAGCTCTTGCTATCGCTCTTTGTAGCCTATGTATTAGTTTTCCTGTGCATCTGTAAGGGCATCAAATCTACCGGAAAGGTGATTAATTTTCTTACTAAGTGTTATATTGTTTTTAGAAATGGGTGAGTAAAGTTGTGAAGATTCAGAGTCGTAGGCAGAATTTTCAAGAAATAAATCGTGTAGGATAGGGTTAGCCTGAATGGATAGTTGTGTTTTTGTAATTTGTAATTGTTTTTGTAAACGTATTTTTGTTCCATTATTTATTAGACTTATTCTTGGGTACTTGCAATTGTTTCCTAAGTTTATTTTTTATTTTGTTTTAAAATCTAGAGGCGGCTGCCCCCTTGCCCCCCTTCCCCCTAGAGGCCATGGCCCTGAGATTGGATTATATTTTTTGACATGTAAAAGTAAATCGCGTGAGACCAACATTGCTGTTAGTTCTTAATATCGATAATTTATCATATATTCCGTTTGTGTGCGTTCAGGTTGTGTATTTCACTGCCACGTTCCCCTATGTGATTCTCACCATTCTACTTGTGAGAGGTGCCACTTTACCAGGTGCTGCTGATGGCATCAAGTATTACCTGGTTCCACAATGGGATCTACTGCTCGAGTTCAAGGTTTGTACCTAATTAGTAATTACTACTGGTTTAAGTTGTAATTTCTCATGTGTCCTATAAGTACAATTGGTAGAAGTAAATATACACTCATTTGTGTCCATATATTGTATTAGTGTTGTATTGGAAGTAGAGTTTGGTTGCAGTTTTGGTCCCGTCACAATAAAGTAATTTATAGTATATATATATCAGAATTGTATACTTGTTATGACATCTTGAATGGAAATGTTTTACATCCAATTCGTACAGTTTTATTGTCATTTTTTCTGTACGATTACCGTATCTTTATAATAAAATTATATTTTTTGATTGTGTCACTTAGTTAGATATAGAGGTTGTGCATTAACCCTAAACGTGTGTCTGTCAAAAGCTTCAAACCTTAACAAGTAAAATATTTGCCTAACTCAAAAAACCGTCACTTGTCTGCACTTTATAAGATTGTAAGAATACACAAAGTCATAACACGTAAGAAAAGCAATCATTACTGAACGAATTGTTCCCTAGAGTCAAAGGGCCACGCAGGAGTGTCAGCGACCATAATTTTTCAATGATATGGTATGATAGGCCCAGTGTGTCAGCTACAGTTGAGAAATTATTTGCATGGCATTACTTATAGGAGATATTGAATATGATATACTTTCCGTGGTATGTTTTTTTTTCACGAGTAGCATAGCGATTACATTGGCATCTTGAACTTCACAAAGAGTGCTAAGCTAGGTTTTTTACTCCAGCGAAAAATGAGGCCTTTAATAGATGTAATGTGCGTACCTGTGTTCAATGAGGAAAACATTCTCTCAAAGGAGAGTTTTCTCAGAAATATATCAACTTCCCATTAAATTTCAGTTTGTAAACGTTGCAGCACTGAAATCCATCTCGCACCTGTCATTGTAAGTAGGCACACTTATATATATATATAGCTTGTTGACAGTGTGTATAAACTATTGGCAGGAGTTCCGATCGCACGTGTAGTTGTCACGCGTCAGACAAGTGCCGTGCCTGTGGGTCCCACGACAATTTTCTGCGCCTTCAATATGCAGCGTATGTAGGTAGACACGTGCGTAGCTGTGCTGTGGTGATTCATCTGTTATTACACTGTATTATGCAGCGATGATCACCGGGCATAGCTATCCTCCATGCGGAGAATGTTCAGGCGTCGAGTGCTTTGGCTATCGATGTGGGCGTAATCAGGTTGTTTACCTAACATATGTCATGTGCTAACTCGAGTAGGTTAATATCATCACTACCTCGACAGTGTTTACTTGTGCTATAATGATTCGTAAGTGAGATTATATGTTAGTAACGTGCCGGTATTTTTCAGGTGTGGGGTATGGCATTTATCCAGATATTCTATTCACTTGGACCAGGCTGGGGGGGCATTATCACAATGTCTTCATATAATCGCTTCCATGCCAACTTACTGAGGTACGTGAGCGTTTTTGTTTGGATATGTAATGTTATAAATCATGGAAAAGTTTACCTGTGAGCTTGTCTGCCGTATCAAAGTGTCACACAATGTTTCCAACAAGTCAGAAACTGCAACAGGTTTTGCTCATTGTGGATTCTTGGAATTATAACACCGTTAGTGCAACTCATAGGGTCTATGTCCCACAGGGTACTGCCGGAACGTACCCTGGGTACGGTCTGGTATACCGGAACGTACCCTGGTAACTATCTGATATGGTTAGGGTTAGGAGTAGGCGTAGGCGACTCCCTAGACTCGTTAGTGGAGTAGGCGAGGTACGGTCCGGCATATTAGATAGTAGCAGTGTACGTTCCGGCAGCACCCTGGGGGACATGGACCTTCTCAGCCGTAATATTCGTTTGTTACTGTATCTAGTAGATTGTGATCGCTTACAGATATCTCAAAAAAAGTAATGAATTTTGCTGTTCTTGTGCCACAATGGGATCGTTAAAGGCTATTTCCTAATATGCCATGGAACTGTAAAAATCCTGACGATGTTGTGGCAATGAAAAGTGATGGGTAATACTGCACTATATAGAATATAAGGGAAAAAAACCTTGCCTACAATGTGATTTCAGGGAAGCGTACCTGGTACCTATCATAAACAGTGCTACCAGTGTCTTTGCCGGATTCGTTGTCTTCTCTGTCCTTGGATACATGGCGGAGGTCGCTCAGCTCGCTGTCAAAGATGTCGTCGCAGCTGGTGGGTTTTCGTTCAACTGCGCATGCCTTTGTGAAGTTGGTATATAGATAAGATGAGGATTGATGGAATGGTGTGGGGTAGTGGATTAGTAATGGATGGTTGATGGGAGGGGTTTTCGATAGGTAGAGGTTGCCTTGTTTCATCTTCTGTTTTGTCGTCATTGTTCTTATCTAATATAGTTGGTTTCTTGTTATGTTAGAATAATCGGTGACAATTAATTTAGATATCAGTAATGATAATTTTATAGTAGTATTTACACCGACTCAAAGTAGCAGCAATGAAAAAAATGCAACAACAGAAGTGGTATCAGTTGCAGGTGCAACAGCCTGTTCAGTATAGCCAGTAGATGAGCGCCATTACTCTGCGGCACTGGTTTCGGTTATCCATCCCCATAATGATTTTAAGGATCTTTTACATACTGTATATGACCTGCTAATTTGCAACTGCCCGGGAGGGTGTATTACCCATAATTTATCAGCAGTGGCAATTATTTAGTTGTATTTACGTAGGCTAGCTGTCGCGCTGCAGTGCTTGGCGAATTAAAAGTGCAATTATGTGTCTAATGAGTACTGGTGAGATATGGTATGATTGCTGGTTTGCAGGTCCCGGGTTGGCGTTCATGGTCTACCCAGAAGCTATCACGCATCTACCTATTTCTCCTCTATGGGCCGTTATGTTCTTCTTTATGCTTCTAATGCTTGGATTGGACACGCAGGTAGAATATTGATTGCGCGCGATATATTATGTACGAGGATAATGATCTGTTTACCAACCGAATGTGACAATACTGCAACGTGTAGCAGTGTGAGCACACACACGCACACGCACGCACACTCACGCATGCACGCACACGCCATACGCCACACGCCACACACACGCATGCACGCACACGCACGCACACACAGAATGTAGAATGCAGTGGTATTATAAGCATGCTGTATGGTACATGAGGTGGCTGAATGGTGTGAACAAATGCAAAATGTTGAACTGTAGGTTGTACATGTTTTATTGCGTCAATCTAATGTATACAGTTACTCTCTGGCATGCTTTGTCTACATACTCAAATCCAATACACTCTCTTGTGCGTACTCTTGCACGCTTATCATCTTTTCATCTTATCTTAAAAATTTGTTTTTGCTATTCAATAGTTTGTGATGATAGAAACGGTCATCACGGCGGTGAGGGACAACTTCGCTTCCAAATTCCAGAAAAGCAAAGTGTGGATCACGTTGGGTGTTTGCGTCGTCATGTTTGTGCTGGCGGTTCCTCTCACAACGCGGGTAAATGCGCACGGATATGTCGTATTCTGCAGCTGTACGTGACTGATATGTGCTGTGTGGTGTATGTGTATACGTGATATGTGGTGTGTGATGTATGTGTATACGTGATATGGGCTGCGTGATGTATGTGTATACGTGATATGGGCTGCGTGATGTATGTGTATACGTGATATGTGGTGTGTGATGTATGTGTATACGTGATATGTGCCACCTGATAAATAGTCTTTGTGGCTACATGCACTTATAATACACCTGTTCTCACTGTCTGATGCAATAACGTGCCAAATATCAACATTCTCATGTTAATCTGAATGTTTTTATTTTCAGGCTGGGTCGTATCTCTTCACGATCATGGACTGGTATACCGCAGCATTTGCTGTTATGGTTATATCCCTGGGAGAGGTTGTTGTAGTCGCCTGGTTCTATGGTAGCTGTCGTTTCCAATAATGATTTTTTAATGTTCTCTAGTTTCTAACCTGCTAGATTTCTCCATCTACGTTTATGCATTATACGCAGCGAGTTGGGCACAGCGACAGTTGCGATAATGCGCAACGATAAAAATGTTATAAAATGTGATTTTGTACACGTAGCAACATTGTCTGACTTTTCAGGAGCTAACCGACTGTTGGATGATGTAGAATTCATGATTGGAAGACCAGTAATCGGCAGAACTTTCATGCTACTTTCGTGGAAATTCACCGTGCCTGGACTGCTTTTGGTAAGTACTGTCGGCATTGACTTTAAGTTTACCTTTAAGCCCGGTGCACACGTGAGTTATTTTACTCAAGTAAAATGACGCACGAGTCATTTTACTCACGTGTGCGGCGAATTTTCGTTGAGTAATTTAACGCATGCATGCGTCATTTTACTCACGTGTGCGGCGGATTTTCGTTGAGTAATTTGACTCATGCGTCATTTTACTCACGTGTGCGGCGGATTTTCGTTGAGTAATTTGACTCGTGCGTCATTTTACTTGAGTAAAATAACTCAAGGATTTACATTAGGTTTTAACTGCATTGACGGTTAGTCGTTTTGACTCCTCGTATTCATTCATAGAGACGCGAATATTTCAGGTGATTACATGTAATCTATCATGTTTTATAAAGTGAATGAAGTGTTTTCCTTAACGTTTTTTCAGTTCATCTTGCTTTTCAACATGATCAGTCACGTACCTGTGACGTATCTCGGCTATGACTTTCCAACGTGGAGCCTCGTATTTGGCTGGATACTGACCATGTTGCCGATCATCCCAATACCAGTGTACGCTATCTATCATCTAATCTATGTTGAAAGGAAGGGTACTCTCTGGCAGGTATGTAACTATTAATGTATAATATATTATATATATATTATATATATATACAGTGTTTCCCCTGGCCAAAAACGTCTGTGAGGTGGTAAATTTTGTGTGTGTGTTTGCGCGTTTCGAGGTCCTAGCAAAGCGAGCGCTGTAGGTGCTTGCCTAGCTAGGGGGGTCCGGGGGCATACCCACAGAAATTTTTTGCAAAAATGGTGCAATTTGGTGCATTCTAAGTTATTCTGAACACATTGTATACGATTTTCGTCAGCGAGGCAGTGTTTTGGACAAATTTCTGTGCAGCGGCTAAGAATTTGAGCGAGGCGGCCCGCCTCGCTCGTGTCAATGCAGGGGAAACACTGTATATATATCTATATATATATGTGTGTGTGTGTGTGTGTGTGTGTGTGTGTGTGTGTGTGTAAAAAGCCGCGTATAAGGATGTTTATTAGGTATACAGGGCATAAAAAGAAATAAGATAACCTAGAATAGGGTTTGTATTTGTCTAGATTGCAGTCATTTAGACATAATTATATGCATATTTTTTATAAACAATGGACTGCACCAATATTCTACCTAAATAGCCTAATTTCTCAGTAAACACAATTATATAAGAACCTTTTTATGCTAACTTGGAAAAACGCAGGTTCTTATATGCGGGCTTTTACTGTATTATATATTATATGTAATAAATGGCTGCTTTGGAATAGAAAGTTGGAGGTCGGTGCCTGTAAGAGGCTAAAAAAATGCTTTGAATAATCACACAGCTAAGTATAACTAAGTCACATACATACATGCGTACCACGCACTGCTCCCATGTGTATGAGGATCGTAATAATAAAAACTTGCTCTTTCCATGAGCACCGTCTCTTGACAGTATAGGAATATAAAGTATATTCGTAGAATGCATGTGCGCGCTATAAATCCAATTATATGACGGCTGGAAGTGTGGGCTGTCGAGTAACATATGTCTTGGCTTTAAACATTCTTTGGTGTCCTAAATACTGTGCACGCCATGGGCAGAACGAACGGGGTTTTCATTAAGAGCACGATTGCCTAATAAATTGTGTGTAGGGGTCGTATAGCAATTGGCGAAATTTGCAAAGCCCTGAGCTTGAGTCATTTCAAATTTTCATGTAACACATGTTTGATAACAGTAGCTGTAAGACAGACTTTGGAAACAACATTCTCGGAACTTTTCAGCGACTACGCAGAAGTGTGAGGCCCTCGAATGCGTGGGGCCCTGCAGTGGAGCCATACCGGTCTGAGTACTTCCACATGCGTGTTGCGCAAGGACACAAGGCACCGTCTGGATACAAGCAATCATTGGAGCAAGAGATGCGGCCTCTCAAGACTGCGACTGCGAAGGATGAGGAAAGTTGCGCCACTGATGAAAAACAGAAGGCTCTATCTCCAGTGTAGACAGATGTCGCCATATTAGGAGTCTATATTGTACATGCCATATAAAGCAATGCACTTATTACTCACACAATCAGTGATGCGCACAGGTTTTGTTTTGTTTTGGGGATGTGTAATCTTTCTGGAATGTGAATCATAAACACCGCATGGCCAATTGCTTGTTTGTTTACCTACTGAGGGTTTTCCAAGAGATACTTTGTGGTAGGCTGGTACACACGTTAGCTAAAGGGCCGGACACACTAGGCGATTTAATCGTGCGACTTTATCGCCCGATAATATCGCCAGATACTATCGCGCGAGTCGAGTGGACACACTAGGCGATTTAGTCGCCCAGTGTGTCCGGCTCTTAACGGTCGTAGATGCGTTTTGTGGAATATTGAAGACAATGAAAAATTCTTTGCCAGTCACTTTTGATCAGTATTGTTGACAGTATTGCAGGTTGCACAAATTTCCAAGAAGTTTAGTGCTAAATGGAACGCCGCTCTCAAGCCCTGAACACCTGTCAGAAAAAATCACAAGTAGTTCTGTCGTCATATAAGTATACAATGTCAACTTTTGAAGTGAAGTGTTGCGCAAAGGTTTTGATATTTTTAAACTTATAATAGTGAAAACTATTTATGATTATTCCGTCAGCGGCCCCCAGGCTACGTTTTCGTTGTGTATGGTCTATGTATAGAACAAGAAACCATTAATAGTGTGGCTAATTTCACTACTGTAATTTATGGTAATCAGTGTTATGCAAATTGTAGTAGCGTAAAATCAGGAGTAAATAAAAACAAAAACACTTTGTTATTACGTACTCCTGATGAAATCTATGTACTGATGTACGAGCATTTATTATAAAGTAGTTTTTAATAATTACTACCTATTAATCTAAACTAAAGGTAGATGTATATTTAAAGATGTTAGATATATGTGCGTGCGTGCGCATGCTAATACTTGTTGGCTCAAAATTATTTTTTTATAACTGTTTTTTTAAAACTGCATCATCATGAATACAACTAACCTACTAACATAATATAATCGTCGGTGAGCGCGGATAACCAATTGGTGATCGGCTCATTTTCTCGGTGTATTATTTATGAAATAATCTAGTAACTCATATGTGTGTGACAAAATATCTGACCTTCAGATGTTACTCTAAGTCAACCAATCGAATAATGGTACATGGAATACCTATTTGGCAGTCTAGAGCATCTATTTACTATGTTGCATTGACAGAGTGAAACGTAGACTAGTTTAATGATATAATTATACGTAGCTTACTCCGAGACTGAACGGTGAAAATCAGGTTAAACCACTCGTTTGTGTGAGACATTCTGGTCTCGATACAAGCAGGGGTAGAACTTCGTATGATATTCCGAGACGTCACCCATGTACTAGCCGGGCACAGATTTTTCTTATTACACTATCTGATTTACAGTGCTCCAGAAGCTCATGGGTTTTCCCCTGTCAATCGGATCACACTGAGAATGAGCTGGTTGCTATGTAAACAGAAAGCACGCACGTTGTTTTGTACAGATGTTGTTGTGTGGGGGGTGGGGGGGGGAAATGTCTTGAGTATTTTCATTTTGTTCTGTGGTGAATATTGTGGACTCGCTGCGATGACGACCTGTCTGTCTAGTTTCCCACTTGTCACCACGCGTAGACCTCACAATGTTGCGACGAACACCCGTGACCTCTTTTACTCGCTGAAAATGAGTGAGGCGTAATGTTTGACAACGATGTGGGTACACGCAGACATTAGCTGCTATAAACGTCCATTCGCGCGCTGGTCTTTAGCTAGTGTGCGATTATGCGCTATAGTGTGTTAATACCATAGAAATAATATAGGTGTCTCTATATATTTCTAAGGTTAATGCGTGGAGGAAGGTAATATAACGAAGCAAGTGTCACGTCGAATTCAAAAAGTGTATCAGTAGCTTGCAATCAAACGCAGTGATCCCGTAGTCATGTTGTACTCAACACTGTTAATTGATGTGACTTTTAATCGAGATGTCATCTGTGTCAAATACTCCTCCTCTCAAAGACATATCCTCCCAAAATACTGCCCCCGTTAGCTGTCATAGCTGTCATCCATATTTACTATGTCCCAAGAATAGACTTTGGTTTTAGAAAAACTTTCTGGCCAATGCCTGTCATCTCATTTTCAGCTAACTCAGTATTAACAAGCGAAAAGAATAAAATTGAAAGGTATTACGGAAGTGTGTGTGTGTATATATATATATATATATATATATATATA